CACGTAGCTGAGTTGCAGCAGCTCTGTAATCTTGCCAAATCGATCAGTTGCGGGCAAAATGGCGGGCACTTTGCATGTGCGACGCAGAATTTCGGCATGCCGCAAAGCTGCTGGCTGTTGGTGTGCTAAAAGGCACTACAAAACTAGTGGAATAAGCTTTCACACGATCACAGTGGACGCTGACAGACGCAAAAAATGGGTAATCTGCGTGGATCACAAAAAATGGTCGCCTCGCTCGGACGATCACTTGTGTGGTAAACCTTCGTTGAAGAAGTGGGCAGCTTCCACTGCAATCTTTGTTCCAAGCACCGAGGCACTCTTATGCGTAGGGAAACCGTCATGTGATTCAGGCCACCCGGACTTTGCTCGTACAGTGTCTGCACACAAGCTGCAGCCCAAGAGTTCCTCGATTACTTGATACACCAGGCATCGTGGGGTGTGGCAGCTGCCTGCTGCGACGGCATCACCTTGGCTCGGATGATGCACAATGTGGCACCTTGAGGCGTCAAGAGCTTGCAGTCTCGTACCAAGCCTGTGGCTTCTTAAAGTGCAGCTAAATTTCCGACACTATTCACTCCCATACCTACCAGCTCCTGAATTGTTTGGGAGCCTACCAAATTTCAATCACATGTCCCGATTGCACGAACAAGACCTCGAATTCCCCAAAACTGGCCACCGTATTTTTTTTTTTACGTCCTATTGTTATAATTATTATGCGCGTGTCAGTGCGAGTTACTCGAGAGTAAGTTTAGGTTATTTCGGCGGGCTACCACGTGGCAACTCAGTTAGAGCAGCAGCATAAAACGGGGGTAGGTTTTGAAACACCAAGTTACGAAACCTCTACTCTGTAGTAAGTTCGATCGCATTTTGGAATGCGGCTTATATGATTGTGGGTGCGCTAGGCTTCATTTGGCTTCATCAGGTCGTCGAGTGAAGTAGGGAATGCCGAACTTCTCTGTGTTTTCCCCAGTTTAGTTGGAACGATCAATGGCGTTTTCAAAATCCAAGATGTAGTAGACAAAAGGCTAAGACGCAAACGAGCTGGTGATGGTTTAACATTTCACTAAATACCCCGAGACTGGGACGAAAAGGGAGGGACAAACGCAGAATCTCAGCTTTGTGTTTGTCCGTCCCTTCTCGTCCCATTCTTGAGATTTTTAGTGAAATGTTTAACCAAGAAGTAGTACTTGCAAATATTTCTGAGATCATACATGACTGAGTTTCCATGCTTTGTCACTTTGTGGAAAGGTTACCAGTATAGATTCTGTACCACGTGCGCCTGCGATGCGAGCATTTTGCACAGTGGCAGGGCTGACACCAAAATACACATCGCTTCACTAAAGTGTCAGAACTAGGTTTCTGCCACTGAAGGGCAGGGCAGTGTAATCCACGCAGTTATTTCTCCAAAATAACTGCGAGGACAGTGTAATCCATGCAGAGCCTCTTCAAAAATTTCTCGTCAAACTAAAAAAAAAATTTTTTTTTATGACCTTCTTTTTTTTTTTTTTGCGCGGTGGTCTCCCGAATTTTTATGTTGCTAGGTTGGCAGGTATGGACTCCTGATGTTTACACATGCATAGCGCTCAACCAGTTGAAGCACTTGTTGGCCTCGAGGGACTTGTACGCTTGCGCCTTGTCAGCCATAAATTAGCTCGGCAAAAAGACCGGGTGGACGACAACTTGCGCCATCAAAGTTGGCAGCAGCGACTTCGCGTCGGAGCACCAGCGGTCCTTGCCCTCAGCGTAGGGATCCTCAAAGGCAACGCCGTCAACGCACAGGTTCTCTCTGTATCGCTGCTGCTCAGGCTCTCGCAGCGAGTGCCAATAGTAAGACATCACAAAGAGCGGAATACGACACAGAAAAAAAAAAAACCCCGAAAAACTAGAAACGCCGCAGCAACTTCGGTTAGTGAATGTACACCCCGCATTGCAATTGGGGAGACTTGGCGAGAGCGGTTGCTCTTGCCCACAACCTTCCTGCTCATGCGGAGCTCTTCTGCCGCGTTTGTAAATAGAGCACGCCGTTCATCGGTGCATAGTACCTATATATCGTATCACTCAACACTACTTTTTTCTCATTGCACACTGTCCCCCTTCTAGAAATCGGTAAACACATTTTTTGTGCTTTTGCTTATGAAAGTTTTTAAGTGTCTAACATTAAAAGCGTCCCAGGTGCTTCAAATCGGCGGCATGAGTGTATATTTTTGACACACAGGTTCTTTCTTACCACAGTTCTGCACTTCCAGTGGGTCGGAAACTGTTAAAACACTAACGTAATCTCATTGTTCATTGTTTGTTTGTGGTGATGCCTGACATGGCCATAATCTCATGATCATGTAACTGCGTCCTCCTTTGGCCCCACGCCTTCCTTCCTGCGGCTTCTTTCATTGATGTGACAGGTCGCCAGAGGCACCGCTGCTTGTGTGGTGTCAAGTACAGCCGCCGCGCTAGACTCAATTTGCAAGCAGCATCTTTTTGCAGAATTTTGCGAAAAACGAGTGGTCGCTTGTTTGGCACTTTCTTTGGTGGCTTGGACGACGCCCAGGACAAATACTTTGGACAGTTAAAGGGGTGCTGAACCGAAATTTGGAGCTCACAAAACAAGGCTGAAGCGATATCCGTAACACTGCAAAACTCAAAAACATCACTTATACAGCAATATCTCTAACGGATGGCAGTATTTTGAGAAAAGAAGTGCGCGATTGAACACGGCCGACGAGGCTGATGAGACGTGTGATGTCGCGATTCTCCTTCTCTCTCCTCTTCGCTTTGTACCCACAAGCAGGTGACCCGAAGCAAGGAGGAGAGAAGCGAGGACGTTCCCCCTCATTCTCAACTGTTTGAATAGAATCGTGACGTCACATTCCTCGCTTGATCGTACCCTTCTTTTTCAAGAATACAGCCATCCGTTTGGGATATCGATGTACGAGTGATGTTTTGGAGTTCGAAGCATCCTATTCAACGCTTCTGCAACCTTATATTGCAAAATTCAAACTTCAGTTCGCATCCCTTAAAAAAAAACTTGATGGCACCGCTTCTGCCTAGAGTACTGACCTTTTCGGTACGTTCAGCAGCACTTTTCCTTTGTGCTCCACGTAAAAAGTCTTGGAGATCAGGTGTGGGTTGAAATGTTTTTTGCACACAGAATCAGGGGGGGGGGGGGGGGGCGGCGGGCTGAAGTTTGCGGTCAGAGCGGGGAATTGCACGATCCCATCATGCGATACGATTGGGGTCCGCTGGTGCTTTAAATAGGGAGGCTTGCTCCTTACATGAATGGTACCCAGAGCTACAATTCGGTACAAAACATTCCTTATCCAACTGATGGAGATCGAGAGGTCCTGGCGTGCAAGCGTGCGAGTGGCAAGAAAGTTGAAACTGGCGGTTTACTGCAAAACTTTTTTTCATTTTCCGCCAGTTTTTGATTGTCGAGAAAGCGGTCACATGCGCAAAATCTGTCCAAAAGTACCTTGGGAAGGTGCCTTGCGCAATACCGCGTTTTTGGCAGCGCCGTAGTGCAAGGCATACACTTTTCAATAAGCATTTGTGGAATGTCAATCTTGCACCCAAATCCTACAAGCTTGTTCAACCTCTCAACATTGTATGACAGCAAGGGGGTGTGTGATTGCATTCTTTTCATAATGTGATTGAAGTTTTAAACCATCGTACAACGTTTCCTTAAGTACACGACAAAGACATTGTTTGCTCCCTGTGGCCGCCCGGGGAGAAGAGCTCATGAGAGAGAGAGTAGAGGCAAACACAATGTGATCATGCACTCGCTGGAAAGTGTAGAACTGTCTTTACGTAACCTCCTTTTTTATGCCGTGATCTCGTCACGTGACAGTCACGTGGGCACGTCATTTGAATTCACTTGACATCACGGTTACATGAGCATGTCATGTGACTTTATGGGGCATTGGGATTTCACGGGAAAATATTTTCACTTTCTTTTGATTCTTTGAGTAAAGTTGAGAGATACAGAATATATTCTGCCTGCCTTAGTCTTTCAAACAAGTCTAAAAGTCCAAAAAAGTCAATGTGAGGAAAACATGTCTAAAAGTATAAAAGTGCCAGAAACGTCAAAGAGTTTAAGGTGCGGAGAAGGCTGATGCTCTTGTGAACAGGCGGCACAGACTTGAGTCGCCTACAATCTCCACTTTCTCTGATCAGTGGTAAACATCGAAGCAGGTCGTTTCATCCGAGTATATTGCCTAAAGTACCACCCTCTTTCAGGAGTTGCAAATGGTCATCATTGTTGTCTCCCCCCCCCCCCCCCCCTCCCCCCCCCTCCCCGCGATATATTTCAGGAAAGTTTTCAAGGGATCAGGCTTTTGAGGTCAAATTGTGCCAACACCTGAGTTACTCTTTACAAGCTCGAAAGAATCAATGATTCCAAATGCCAATTCTACATGGAAAGAGAAGATATTAGACACATGCTTCTTTTTTGCTCACATAGATGCAAACAAGCAGAAGGGCCTCTACCATTGGTATGCAGTTAGTGGTCTTCCCTACTCGACCATCTAAGATCTTTCTCCAACTCCACCACGCAGAACTGCGGACAGAGGCTCCAAAATCGTCCTAAAATTTCTGTGGAAGACGGGCCTGACGGGCCGTCTGTGTAGGGGCCTCTTGAGCTAGAAGCCAAATCAATTGTACCCGTCTGAAGGCTATCGCCCAGAACTTTCCACCATACCAATAATTTGAACCCCCTGCTAAATTTCCGCCCTATCCCTTTTGACCATCATCAGTTTCCCCATCTCCTAGCTGAGTAGCAACTTGCCTCGTAAAGGAGGCCCACACTGCTTGCTCCCACCTATCTCCCTTTCCTCTTGTTAATACCAAACGAACAAACATGAGGCACACGACACATTATGCATCTCAACTTTATGCGAAGCGTTGAGGTAAGCTGTTGGGACATGTTTGCGCATACACCAGATTCCCGCTCTTCAGACGAGGTCCCCTCTCGTCCTTCCGTCCCTCACAAGGTACAACGTCCGTTCCAGATCACGCGTGCGGATGTGGAGGTGCAGCCGTACGCCTTCACGACCAAGTCGCTGTACGTGGGGCACACGGACTACAAGTACATCCGGTGGCAGGTGATCGACACCCCAGGGATCCTGGATCACCCGCTGGAGGAACGCAACACCATCGAGATGCAGGCCATCACGGCTCTGGCCCACATCCGGGCATGCGTCCTCTACCTCATGGACCTCTCGGAGCAGTGCGGACACACCGTGGAGGAGCAGGTGGGGCCTTCGTGTGGATTTATGCCTTCGCATAACTCTATTTCATCGGACGTTTGCAGTATGGCTAAAGGAAGGTAGTCCCTTAGTATTATCTTGGGGCAAAAACTACTCAGACTGAAGGCATTTATTTTTTCAATAATACACCAGACTGGTTAGTGGAGGAAATTTCATGCAGTGTGGCTCTCCTTTATTTCTTGTTTTGTCAATATAAACGACCCTCCTGAATGCTTTTTTTTTTTTATTCACCAAAAAATATTTTAGCAGGGAATTTTATTTTTGACATTTAACCCAACTAATTGTAGATGCTGAAAATTTTTTAAATATGTGTCAACCACTTAGTCACTTTTTTCTCAAAAAGCATGGTGCATGCCATAAAAAGAATTGCAGCAAATGAACGGCTGTGTCAAACTAATTAATTAATCTGTTGCTTAGCGATTTCAGTGTCAGATGTGATTAGTCCTTGGCAAGTATCATCAAACCAGTGGAAGGCAGAGACTGGGACAGTTTGGAAAATGAATGAAGGGCTAACATTGTTAAGCTATCAGTTGCTTCTGTCCTTAGACTTCTGGCAAATTCCACTCATTGTTTTAGGATTTTCAACCTAAATTCCCAGTGGAGCGGGATAATTTGTGCGTGACTGCAGTGAGGTGACCGGCAGTACATGATCTCAGTTTCAGAAGCGAATTGTGTATGTGCTTGTAAAACTATGCTTTTTTATGAACTCTCCCTCGTATCAGTTGTTGTGTTTCCAGCAGGAAGCAGGTGTTTCCGAGGTCCATTTTTTTATTTCAGAGTTTGATATGGCCACTAGGTTGTTTGTTATAGAAGTACACTGTACATGCATTTTCATTTGAAAGATTTGGGCATTTGATATATACGGTAATTTGCTGTATCTGAGTTCATTATGAATGGGCGCTACTGTATGGAGCAGAGCCCTTTATACTGGGAGAGTTTGGCATTCTTTTGAGCATGCTGACAGTCTAGCAACTATAGCTGGAAGTCTGGCAGCTAGGAGATGGCATGTTACCAAAGGTCATCCTAGCGATAACCCGCACTGCCTGGTAAAAGTTACAAAAATGTAGAGAGGAAGGCTTGGAAGGGCGAGGGGAGGAATCATACTTTTTGTTTTTTTTTGTTTTTTAGGCTAGAGGGCGCAAGCTACCACCTGTTATAAAGGGTTTAGTTGTTAGCTTGGAGGTAGGAAACTTCTGGAGGCAACATGACGCCACGAGAAGTGAAGTCGGGGGAAACTTCCAGTGGGGGGGGGGGGGGGGGGGGACTAATGATGACCAAAACCAAAAGACGCTATTGGACGGGAACTACAGCTGATTTAGCGCCAACAGCTTTTTTGGTCAGCCTTGGGGGTGTTTCCACTAACTGCGGCTTCTACTTCAGGCTTTACTTAGGATTTTTTTGTTTGGCTGGCATTAGCCGGTATGTCGCCTCATCTTCCTGCCTTAATGGTTTTGAGCATCCATCCACCAATCTGCCATATTGGGGCATTGTAATGAAAGTGTTTCTTGTTGATGAGCACGTAAAGTCTCTACTCAGGAGCGCGAGAGTTTGGCGCTCCGTTCACTAAATGGACAGGAGAGCTGCTGGGGACTGACGCTCGAGCGTGCTCTTTGTGTACCGAGTATTTATCGGAGCGCGAGCGACTTCTTTGCGCTTTGCGACGTCACGTCCAGAAACAAGGTGGCTGTGCTGACAGAAACATTGTTGAGATGAAGGGCGGGGTGGACCTTTGCCCCTTTTCAGTAAAGGATGAGAACTGAGTTTATTGACAGAAGAAAACAATGAAAAAAAAACAAAAAAAAAAAAAAAAACTACTTGAATGGTGCATAATCTAGAAGGAAAACAAAATTTGATTTAAAAGCCAAGACAGCAATTAGCATTCCGGAAATGGTTTGTCTGTGAGTCTCGCCCTAAACGAATTCATCTGTCAAACAATAGCTTGCCTATACACCAACTCAACTCTCCTACGTCACGCCGCGGTGGTGGCGCGCCGGACGCACTTCCGGTCTCGGGCGGTGGGCAGAAGTCGCCGTGCCAGGCATGCATTCCTGTGTTCCTTTGGAAGAAACGAGACAAAAAACCTGCCTTCTCGTCAAAATACTGCGATGGGGGCTTTACCAAGAGAGTCTGAGAAGGTTTGAAGATCAGTTTTCATGTGTTTTTGCACCCTCCGTTCGTCCGAGAACGTGGATAGCAGCCGTGAAAAGGGAAAACCTGACGCTGTCGAACTACAATTGCGTGTGCGGGCCACAATTTGTAGTCGCCAGATGTATTTGCTTTGTTCCAACATGACCGAGAGAAAACCCCCAAGTTGTCCGGACCACCCACGGATTCAGTACATCTTCAAATTCACACGGCCGCCTGATCGTTCGAACTTTCGTCTGCTCTTTCAAAGTTGTCTGCTTTTTGTCGTCTGCTCGTTCAAACAAAAGCGGCCCGTAGACCAAAGTTTGACCCGGTGATTGCAATAAGAAGTAATTGCAGGCCTCAAAAGACTTAAGTAGGCTCGGTGTAAACAGTAGATACATGTTAATTATTGGTACCGGTGGCCATCCCCTACTTGTTACGCTTTGTCTGTTCCCGCTTCCGATTTTCAGTATCGATGTCGATCATCGCCGCTACCTTTTACACTTTTGCAGCACGAGCGACGTCGCGACCGAAAATAGCTACAAGAATCTCATCATGGTTTTGGCGTCCATTTTGCAGCGTTCATGCGAATGAATCGCCGCACTTACGGAAAGTTTAGCGGCGTAACGAACCTCGATCATTTCGCTCAGGCGATTGAAGTGGTAAGACATTGCGATGAGGACGTAGAATCGACAACTCCAACGCGAAAAAGAGTATGCAGACTCACACAGACGCCGACAACGTGACATTCGAATGGTTTGTTGACGCGGGACGCGATGCTTCTTGCCCGTACTCCATTGCGCGTGCGTTCGAACTGTCATCTGCTCTTTCAAACTTGGCTGCTTTTTGTCGTTAGTTCGTTCAAACGACAGCGGCTCGTAAACCAAACGTTGACCCGGTAATTGCGATAAGAACTAAGTGCAGGCCTCAAAACATTTTTGAAGGTTGGTTGGGGTAAGTCGGCTAAGTGTAAACAGATACAAGAAGTTGTTGATCATTGTTGCCAGTGGCCATCACCGACTTGTATTGCCCGATTCTACTTGAGGTTTTCAGTATCGATGTCCACCATCTCAGCTACGGTCCACGCTTTTGCAGTCCTAGCGACGTCGCGACTGAAAATAGCGAGCAGAATCTCGACGTGGGAGTCAGGCTTTAGCGCCCATTCTGCGGCGTCCACGTGAAATGAATCGCCGCACGTCACATTATCCACGCAAAGTTTTGCCTCGATAGTTTTGCTGAAGCCGCTCAAGTAGTCAGACAATGTTAGGAGGACGTAGAATCAACAATTCCAACGCGAAAAAGAGCACGGGGACTCCCACCGACGCCGACAACAAGGCAATTCAATGGTCTGTTTATGGGCGACGGCGGACTTCTTGCCCACCATCCACGGCGCATGCGCGGCGCCGGTGACGTCCGCTAGGGGCGTTCCGGTTTGTTTGTAAACATGAGTTGGTGTATAACGCTGTGCCATAAAAGTTGTCGAGATGAGAAAACATTCGGAGTCGGACCGCTTCCTTTCTGCAATGCTTAACCGAGCGAATAACGATCCTTCGATTGGAAATCCAAAACTATTGGAAATCCGAAACATCAGTTAGCATTGCAGAAAACATTTGTTCATGCATCTTGTCTGAAAACAGATTGACATGCTGTCTATTGAACGGCGGTGTACTGGTGTCGGCTTAGCATATCGACGCGTTCCGTCCCGCGCCGCAAGGTGTAACCACGGTACATCTGACAAATTTGACAGTTTACTGTGTCGACAAGTGAGTTTAGGGATGTAAATAGGTCAAGGTAGCTTTCCGCACTGTGCTCGAAGCAAGTCTTCAGACATTTCCGGAATATTAAAACATACTAGAAACTTCCTATTGTCACCATCTTTTTTACTTTACACTCTGCTGCTCCACAGACTTCGAAATAATTTTGGCTTCTGCCACCCATATCCACGAGACGCCGCGTTCATTGTAACTTTGCGGTCGGAAGTGATTCGTGCGGCTCTTCGATAGTTTCAGTGTGTCATGCTTTCGTTTGCAATGCTTTGTTTAGTTGCTGCACTTGGAGTATGAAACTTGGAACGTCAGAGTAGGAGTAAAGGAGCGCAGACTTAATGCACCCAAGGATAGCATGTGTGGGACTGTGCACGCAATCAACGGCTCAAAGTTACTTATCTGTTACAATCTGCTATATAATCTTTGATAGACCTATTGCTTTATTCCCCAAGCATCAAGGAGAATGCAGGGATTGGTGTTCCACGTGCCGCACGTGCTGGCGTCAGCAGTAGTAACTTTTCCAAAGCAAATACCTAAAACAAATGGCATCTTGCACGCGCGTTCGTCAACGCTTTATTTTGGTTATTTACTTCGAATTCTTTATACAGGGAAGGCGTGCTCATGTGGCACGTGGAACACCAATCCCTGCATTCTCCTTGATGCTTGGGTAATAAAGCAAATGGTCTATTCATTACTCTTGTCAAAATTTAATTTTCGATACTTTGAATATTATGTTTCAAAAATGACTGCCATCAAAATTCAATGCTGTGACTGGCGTTATCCAGGAGAGTCGCTACGAACCCCTTGAGCTCGAGTGCCGGATTTCTTTTTGTTTGTGAAAGCACCATTTTTTTTAAAGCCAAATAAAAAAAAAAAGTTTATTTGTAAGTTTTGTTTTTGGCGACAGTAATAATAATAATAATAGTAGTAGTTCATTTAGCATGGAAGTATGGTGGTAGCTGAGGATGACCAGGGTTTGAATATAGTGACTAATTGCAGGCATAACAAAATGTCTGAGTACAGGGAATTGTGACTAGCATACTCAGAGTGGAATGGTCAAAAGCAGAAACCTCTATATTGTGGCATTACAAAGTCTGCTTGTTCGAGCGGGCGACAGGCTCCTTACGTCGGTCAAACTCTCTTTGTATAAAGGGCTCTGATACTGACTGGAGAGCAAGAAAGCCACCTGCGGGTGAATCCACTGTTTTCAAGGCAGTTGCTTTTACGAGATTCTGATCACTTTACAATTAATTGGTGGTAGACAGAGCAGCTTACTGACCTCCCAGGAGAAGGTGCGTAATCCTACAGGGTGTCTAGCGACCGGGAAAGCTTGGAAAACCGGGAATTGTCAGGGAAATTGTAATTACTAGGAAAAATCGGGGAATTTTCAGGAATATTGTCAAAAAGCGAGCCCAGTCAGGAAAAATGAGCCAAAAACGCCATTGAGTGTCCTGAGCAAAGGCTTGAGGACTTGGAGGCAGAAAAATAGGCAATAAATTCTGCTGAGAGCGGAGCATAGGCTCTGCTCAACCGGTGTAGAGTGTACTACCCGATCCAAAGGAAACAGCCGACAAATCCAGTCCAAGCCTTGGTTTGGATGGATTGAGGGCGCAACATTAGGCTAGATCCAGCTAGAGCTACTAGATTTACTAACAAATAGGAAAGCTGGAGACCCCAATCCAATCCGAGCCTTAAGCCAAAAATATCCGAAAGTGTTCACCTGGCGGCCATGCTGCCATCGGTTATGAACGTGTGTGGTTCAGCGTCGTGTTTTCATTGTGTTTCCGGTAGTGGGCCTCTTCACTGACGATGTCGGCGGCAAGAAAGCGCTCGCTTAGTCCGGGCTGGACGAACCCGAATATTTCGGAATATGCAAGTTGGATTAAGCCCGTGCCAAATGATCCTCACAGTGCTCAATGCTCACTGCCTTGTGTTGTAATGGTCTACCGCCTCTACAGTGTTCGGGGAATTTCACCTGAAATTGTCAGGGAAAACCTGGAAAAGTCAGGGAATTTCAAAATGATAATTTGCTAGACACCCTGTCTTAGGTAAATTACGCTACTGTGACTTTGTTAAGGTTTTTCTCGCATCACATTATTGAGAAAAACATTGTAGAGGATGGCAGTGATGGAAGTGCTGCGCAACTTGTAGAAATAACGAAAGTCTGCTACATCTTGCGTTAAAACGCCAATTTAGCTAGGAATTGTGCCATACCTGTGCTGAGCTAAGCCTAAACAAATAAAAAAAGAAAAATATTTTAATATTGTTTGATCGTAATTTTTTAGACTAGAAGGAAAAAAAATAGTACAGATATTTACAGCATTTCTGCCCACCGTATAGTTTGTTTAATCTTAGGTCAGAGCACCGTCGAAGGCTCGAACACACTATCATAAACACACATACTAAAACCGTATGTCTAGGGGCATTCGCTGCGCTTGATTGGTTTAGACAATGAAAGAACACATACAGATAGGCGGCGAATGCCACATTGTTGCACTTTTGACGCCGTTTCATTGGTTCCGTTGGCTCGTAGCGTCACCTGCGCTTTGACTTAAAGTAAAGCTGAAGCAATTTTAAATATGAGGAAAAAATGCCCGAGCCTTGTTAATTAAGCCTTAGCCATCACGAATATTGTATTCGTTAGCGCATTTTATGCGCGAATTAACCAGAAAAACGCCTTCAAACTAGCAGTGAAGCCACTCCACTCCGAAGACGAGGGAAAGGGGAGAGAGGAGGAAGCCCGTGAGCTGACGTCGCAAAAGGTTTGGCCGGGGAACTCCGCCGCAGCTGGCCGCGCTTCCCTTATAGGCTGCTCTACTGACTTTTCAAGCTGTCGTCTTTCTGCCGCTGCATAGTGCTTGCTTTTATCCATTGACCGTTTGTGGTATTGACTCGGTCGCCCAATGTATTGTTTGTTCATGGGTTTGCAAACTTCTCGTGGTACAAAAGCAACCGACACGTGCTGTTGCATCACGCCGTGCTCGTGTAGCCATCGGCTTGCACGAACAGCGCTAGTCGCAATTGTTCTTCATGCTTACCGCCCTTTTTACTCCAACACCGAGGTTTCAAAAGGATGGGTTCCTGCTATGCAAAGAGACAAGTTTGAGCAAGAAGTGCACTGTTTTTTTGTTCGGAACATGTTCCGGACGGCTCACCTGACTGAATCCGACGCTCTGCCGTCCATCTTTGGAAAGAAGGCAGTTCAACGCATTAAAGGGAGGGACACTGACAAAGTATTTATGCTCGCCGAAGTTTTTAGTTGTATGTGACATATGAGAGCCCAACTACCCAGAACAGAATTTGCGGCTTGAAATTCGGTTTCTTTCCACCCGAAAACCGCTGATAGAGAACTGGCCAGTCTGAGTCGCGCTCACTCTCTTCTTTGTGGTCACGGGCCATTTTCTAAGGTTTAGGCACCACCACCAAATTTAATCAAAGTCGTGGGTCGTTGAAAGCACACACCCAATATTAAAAGTAGAAAAAAAAAAAAAAAATGTGAAGCCGATTTTTTGTGGCTTTCAGAAAGCTGCAAATATGTTGATTAAAAAAAAGTTCCACTGAGAACCAACCGGAAGCATTCTGTGCGTTCACTGCATAATTCTCAACATGGCGTCGTTTCTCGTATCGTGGGACTCGCAGCGCGGGCTTGACAGCGATGGCAGCGGTCAATGGGCATGGGACCTCTACTTCAGAACTGCTGATCGCGGTACCGCCGAATTCTGTTATCCGTTGAATGAGAAATTTTGGACTGACCAAAAGAATCAGTATTCATCGTGTACGACACGCCCGACCACCAAGTTGATTTCGCCCCCTTCTCGTGGCTGAAGACATTGCTCGCACAAACGTTAAGCACGAAGTGCATACTTCAACCCGTGCAAAATGGTTCTTGCAGTGCTCAATGCTCAATGCCTTATTGTAATGGCCTTATATATTTACCCGCCTCTACATTGGTCAGGGAAATTCACCTGAAATTGTCAGGGAGAGCCTGTAAAAGTCAGGGAATTTCAAAATAATAATTTGCTAGACACCCTGAAAAGGGAGAGGAAGAGAAAGGCCTTATTTTAATGGAGGTGTTGCACTATGCTATATTTTCCATCCATTTTTAAATACCACTTTTAAATGGAACCTACCTTGAGTTGAGCCTTATTTCTTTAAAAAGAAAGACAGTGTGTTCCTTTTGCATCTCATTTATTCTTACTACGAAAAAATAAAACATAATGTGTTTCAGCATCAAAGAGGAACCCTCTGTCATTATCAGATATGAACTCATTTAGCGATGCAATCAAATTTTAATTTTCAAGTGACGTGCTAGCAGTTGTTGGCATCTGCTCCAAAAGCGTCATTGGCTGCTCCAAGCCAGTAGTGCCTGTTACAAAAACCTGCGACCAAAGGTCAAATGCTGCTTCAATCACTGGGATGGCTTCCTTATTTTCATGAGAAACATTCTTTGTCTATGTGTTCGGCATTTCGTGAAGCCTGGATAAAAGCGTGGCTGCAAGGCTTGACATTGATGGGTTTTTGAGTGAGGGGGAAAAGGCCATCGTAGTAAAAAAGCGTTTGCGCTAGGCGGGAATCGAACCCAGACCGATTAGATTATTAAGCGAGTGGCTTTCCATTATGTCGCGACACATTGCCATGAGTTGAGGTGCCATTTGGCGGGAAAACCCCTGTGGAGATTCCGCTCTGCGTCTGGCAGATAGCAACTTGACCCCCTGTCACATATTTTTGAAACCCGGGTTTGTGCTGGTATCTCCATTCCAGTAATTGCCATCGCGTGTACATGCCATGCCATGCCTGGATCCAGTTGCTAAACTAACCGATAAAGAGCGCCGAAAGCATAGATGCCACACGTTTCACGTGCAACACAACTGCTCCGCAATTCACTATGCATTTTTTGAGTACGACAGTAATTTTTTTGTCCTTTGGTACATTGACAGATGAAGCTGCTGTTCAACATAAAGCCCCTGTTTGTCAACAAGGTTGGTGTTATTTTCATTCAGTTACTTTTTTTTTATTTGTGTGCAGAATTTTCGTAATAGTGACTTTTGCCTCTTTTAGCCTTTCCTGGTGATTGTCAACAAGGTAGACATTGTGAGGCCAGATGACCTTTCACCGGAAAGAAAGGCGAGTAGTCTTCTTCCACTCAGTTTGTTGCTTTTTTTTTTTCTTTATCTTGCTAGTGGGAATGTTTTTTAAGCAAACCATTCTAAGGAAAAAGCACTTTTGACCTCAGGACAACTGATCCAGAGTTTAAGAAATCGCATTGCTCCTTCTGTGAAGTCATGTTTCGTGGTAGGGCTGCCGTTCTTCAGAAAATTTAGCATAATTTTTTGTCAGTGGCAAAAGTATAGGTTTCATTACAAGAAAGAACGTTGTTGCTCTGTGTTTGTAAAAGATCAGGACTTGGGAGCAGCTGCATATGACTCGTGTGGTTCTTCATTCCATTGAAAAAAAGGAACAGACAAAGAGCCCAGGAAAGGACAACAGTGACACACACTGCCTGTGTAATGGTGTTGGTCATCAATTAAAAGACTATGTCAACAGATACATGTAAATTAAAAGCTTTATTGATCAGGCCGGGAACTTTTATAGACCAGCCTGTAACTTGATCCGCCCATAGAAGGAAATCGTCGGTGGATAGAAACAGATAGTGCCCTCTGATCTCCAGATTTATCTTACGTTGTCAGAAAGGGAGAATTGAAAAGGATGACAACCATGAGGACAGTTGGAATTACTGTCTTGTTAAGCATTGTTATATTAAAGTAGGCTTTTCGTCAAGTTTAAGGGTTTTGTTCTTGAAGCACATTCGGCTGTTTGCACAGCGGTTAGAGTCACCATGGCAGCATGCTGAAAGTGACGATTAGTCTGTGGGATGAGAGGGAATAGAAAAGCAAGTTTTAAATTGCTCATAAAATTTCTTGGCATTGAATCTTCTTGCCACCTTGTTATATGGCTTGTATACCCATGCTTATAAAACAGTATCTAAAATGTAAACATAAAATTGAAAATGGAGACTACTAACCTTGCAGCTCTGTTGATGTTCCATCAACAGAGCTGCAGGGTTAGTAGTCTCCATTTTGCTCAGTTGGAGCGAAGAATTGTGCTATGAGAAGGTTTTACATGGCCTCATCACCTTCTGGCAGCTTCATCTGGCCTTTACTTCACACACTTAGCTGCACTAAGAGTTGAAGCGGGAACTGTTCAAATATGCAAACTCACCGTGATTCTTGCTGCATTGGCTTGCTGCAGGAGCTGTTTGCCAAGCTGTCGGAGGAGTCGATCCCGGTGCTGCAGATGAGCACAGTGACGGAAGAGGGGGTGGCAGAGGTGCGCAACGAGGCCTGCGACCTGCTCCTGGCCCACCGCATGGAGGCCAAGCTGAAAGGCAAGAAGGTGGAAGGCATCCTCAACCGCCTGCACGTGGCCATGCCCAAGCCCAGGGACAGCAAGGTGGGTCACCCATGTGCTCCTCGGTGCTCAGCAGCAGTCTGAACCGTTGCAGGAACCGCAAATTGACGATGTTGGCTACAGTCACGTCTTCTTAATAAGGACACCTCTGTTCTCCGAAATGGTCCCTTTCCCTCAATACCGTGGCGTAGGCAGTGGTAACATGGAATGTGATGCAGCATCGAGCTAGACTAAAGCCCCTCGATATGTTTTCGTTTGTCTTTGCAAGTAGCGCCAAATGCGCGAGCGTACGTGGTCCAGGTCTCGAGCGACCCTTGGAAGCAAATGGCGGCGCAGCACTGAAATGAGCGGCCCTTGGAAGCGAATGGCGGCGGAGCACCCGCTCGTGGCACGTGTCTTGTGCATTTCCACAACAATGGTTGGCGGTACTTGTGAAAACACCTTTATCAAGCGGCTTTAAGCTAGACACAACAGCAAAGCCACCATTTCTAATGGCATGGCAACTTCAGGAACGAGATATATAAGCAACATATAAGTACTATGAGTAAAGTGCGTCACTGGTACGTCGCTCTATGTTTGATCACGTAATGTGACCTGCGGGAGTCACTTGGATTCACTTCAGCAAGACGTTTGGCTAGCACTTGTGTTCAATCAGTGAGGAGACCAGCACAGCATTAGCAGTCGGCTGGTACTCGTGTTTTATTCTACCGTCAGCGGAGTCAAAACTGAAAATGGTTAGGTGCTAGCCATATAGCACATTCTGTGTTAAAAACTACCTGCAATGAAAGTCCTTCATAATAATGAGGGAAAAATGTGAGTATTTACCCAGTTCTTCCCCAAAAAGCTTGTTTATATAGTAGGGTATTCATTTTAAAGGGTTTATATTAATGGGGCATGACTGTACCTGCTTTTTGGGGCACATTCTTTGACATGGATGTTTAAAGCACCCAGCCCACACTGTCGGTATGCAAAGTTTGATGTATTCACCAGATAGAAGCAGTGTTTGTGCGAGCCCTCAGATAATCGATAGTAAACTTCAGGTGCACTATTTTTGTCTTCAGGCCCAAATGCCTCAATATTTGAAGGTTACAAAATGAGAGAACTCGTATAAAATGTGCGCACCTGCCCGAAGAGCTCGACTTGTTACGTCGGCTCTGATCCAAGATGAGAAGCATAACTTGACTTTGCGCAAAGTGTCAAATGGGATAAGCATGCATACCTTTAGTGTCGTTCTATGCTGATATGCTTTGCAAACTTCTTTCTCTTACCAGGAGAGGCCACCCTGCATCCCAGAGAAGGCACTCCAGAAGAAGATGGATGTGGACGGTGCCAAGAAGTTGGTGAGCCACAAGCGTCAGCGAGGGCTTCGTTTCACAGACCGTTTACCCTTTTCCGACACCTTTTCTAGGAGCGAGACATCGAAGCCGAGCTTGGAGATGACTACATCCTTGACTTGAAGAGTGAGTGGCAGAGAACTCTCGACGTAGTTCCGTCGGCTTCTACAAACCGTTGTGCGAGAAAAGAAGCGAGGCGGAAGCTATGAGGCTCGCTCGGCATGAGGCTCATACTCGTGCTGCGTGAGCCTCGTTCGAAGCTTCGGTTGTACTTTTAGCACAGTGCCTGGAAGGCTTCTCCGACCGAGATCTTCAGCGTCCTTCTCCGCCCATGCATTGAATGTGGTTTTGAAGTGGCAACAGATGACGACGCAAAAGCCGGAGCTTTGTGCTGTAGGATATCGCGAGCCTTTGGCATGACACTCTGGCATGGAAACATGAAGGCTCGTCTCACTCGCGACTTAGGACCGTGTGCCTCGAAACCTCTCATGATCTCCTACAACAAGTAAACACATTGGTGGCACCTATCAAATAGCATTGGAACACTCGGAGGCCCCGTATATATCCTATTTCTTTCAGGCATCATTCTTTCTTTCTTGGCTGGAAAGATTTGTCAGCGTCATAAACCGTTTCTCGTAAGCAGTATGTCCATTTGACCTCGCAAATGCCGCAGTACCTTTGCTCTAATGAAATAGTGCAGCTCCAGGGTCACCACACGGACAGCAACAGCGTGCTGGTGTTTTGTCGTGTCTTAAGAGGTATTAAGAGGTTTCGAAGCACAGTGCTAAGGAGTCACAAGCCCGTGCGAGAGAATGCAAGCATCGTCGTCGTCCCAACTCCCGTCTGCCGAAACTTCCACGGACCGTCGTGCTGGAGAGCGATTTGCGGTAGAACGGGCGCCCGCCGCATCCGCCACCGCCGCTGCGACACTGCCAGGGTCGCGGCCGACGACAGCACGACGCTTCCGCAACATAGTCGAGTGGAAATCGAAGGACCGCTTTTTTTTGCACAGTGTAAACGTACCGGTCGGAGACGGGTGGCGGTGCCCACGCAATGCGTCTCCGACCGTGCTTACTTTTGATGCGGCAAACTTTCATTAATTCTTCTTCGATGGAACCTTGAAATTTGGTCCAGGTATCCGAAGGTCTAGTTCATAGAGGGTGGAATAAGCCCTCGTATTTGTTTGATCATTCGAGGTTTTAAGGGAAGCAGGAGTGCCTTTATCTCAGTAGCTCTGAAGCAGAATCCGTTATTAAAACTATGGGTGCGGAAAGGCGAATCCAATCTGTTGAGGCTTGGGGAAGAGAAGAGGCATTAAATGAGGAGGTGTTACGATAGGGGATGCCTACCTTTGTGAGTTGTTCATGATGACATGTAAGATGGTTCTATAAATAATTTTTCTCGAAATGCAACATTGATGTTACAATTTTGAATTCTCTGCTGGTTTTATTTGTTTCTGCATCAAAAGATTATATTTAGCAGGTACTAAATCAGATAAAAACACCAGGTGGTGACACTTCAAACTTTCACTCATGCTGTTTCTATACAATAGCCCTTCCTCACCCAAGAAAGCTTTTAGGCATACCCTGTCTCATGAGTTTCTTCTATCTTGGCGTGCTGCATTCATGTTCGGAGAAGTGCCATCTTTGCAATGTTTCATCGTGCCGTAAGCAGTTCTGTTCCAAGTGGTGCCATTGAAAATTGGCGCATAGTATTCTTCTGTCAACACTTCTTGCCGAATCATGCCCGTATCAGTGCATTATTGTGTCAATCAGGGTCAGTCGGGTATGTCGACTGCCTGCCCCATTAATGGACAACCGTGTGCCGTGTGTGGTATTGCTCTCTGACACTGAAGAGAAGGAGGGAAAGGGATTGATTCGGTGGCCAATCCACAAGGCATCTAGGATAAAGGAGGTATTGGTGGCTTATCCAGCGTGCTCGGTACGATTTGTTGTGTGGTCTTTGTTTGGCACGACCCACAAAAATGTGCCTGTTTATGGACATCCCTCTTACCTTCAGAGAACTATGATCTTCCTGATGAGGAGAAGTATGACGTCATCCCCGAAATCTGGGAAGGACACAACATTGCGGACTACATAGATCCCGACATCCTCAAGGTGAGCTTCTGTACCACAGACCTTTAACAATATTTCAATAATGGAACTATAAAAAAAAAAAAAAGGAGGATCGTTTTAAGAATTAGTTGGAGTGTTGTGCCAAGGGTTGACAGGTAGAAGCCATCTGCTGCGTATTTTAGCGGTCCCTCCCACCCGCTGGCATTTACTTCTGAAGTTCCGAACGAATGCTTCTCCTGAAAAATCGGCCATGCTGTTTTGTTGGCTAAATATCGCCAGGGCGAAAAACAATGGGACATAGCCCACGCTGGCCAGTGCCTGAAGCGGGATTAAGCTCACTTTATTTTACCGCAGTTACAGTGCAGCGGTTGATGTGTAAACATGCGCAAAGCAATAAACTAAAAGCGAGTTCCCGTAGCCCCCGACAGAGTGAGAACAGCAGGGCATGTCTTTCGAACGCCCGGCCTCTAGCACATACTTTGTGCCTTCCGCCGTGCCTCGGCTGCATGCGCGCCCTTGAGGTCCACGAGGCGCCGAAGCATTGTCAAAGGTAGGAAGCTTGCATCGGAGGTGAGACAACTGAAGCTCCTCCCTGCCGTTCTCACCCTGTTGGTGACTAGGGTGTGCCTTATTCATGTTTTTGTTTGTCGGTCCTTCGTGTCAAGATTGGGAAATCCGACATTCAGAATATAGCATGAAAAAAAGCAGCAGCTTGCGTGGAGATGAACAGATCCACTTGATTGCATGCACCATTGTATTGGCAGCATCTTGTGCCACCCAACCAAAGGCTGTTTATACTGAGAGAGTTTGGCTTTCTCAAGGAGGTTTTGACAGTCTGTCAACCGCAGCAGCGTACTTGACAACCAGGGGGCAACTAGTTCCGGCCGCCATTTTGGGGTCTGACTTGTAAGAATTTTACGTGATTTCTCTGGAATAAAGAGGAGAAGTAGCACCATTTTGCGTTATCTCGAAATCCGCTGGTTCTAGCGGGCAACAAGCTCCGCCCATTGGCGAAACTCTTTCAGTATAAACGGCTCTGACCTAACCGATTGCGGCAGCCAGAGCAATGCAGCTGGACTACTTAGGCAAGCAACTGCTGATACAAGTAACCGCTGCCATTGGGGCCGCCTGCGAAGAGGTCGCAATTGTTCTTGGACACAAAACATTTTTTCTACCCAACTTGATTGTGCAAACACAGCTTGACTTTGCGTGAAAAATTTCTAAAGTATAAGCAGCAAATATTAATATAAGCAAATGCTTGTTCACTACACTCACCATCGGATGACAGTAATGAAGCAACAAAGAAGCTGTCATCTCTGGTATTTCCAAAATGCCGTCATTTTGTTGGGTTACTGTAATTGCCTGCAGTTGAAAAATGCACAGTTTTCATTGCATTTTATTGTGGCATGGTCACAATACAATAAAACTCGTAGCTGGGCTTAGTAATTCTTCACAAGTTAGGATGGCGGCTACGCTAGATTTGAGAGAAACGTTGGATTTATGTAGTTTAATGCCTTGAACTTAGAATGGTATTAAATGGCCAAAAATATCTTGCAGATATTTTTTGGCAACCGTCTCTTTGCTTGTGTGTATTTTTTTGTATTTTTTTTCATGAGGCTTTGTGATTTATGATTCCCTGCTCTATCATGGATAAATTTTACTGACTCATATTTCCTAGAGGAGGGTGAAGTTTTGTTAGTGGTCTTGCATTTTTTTGGGATGGAATTATTTTTTGCCATAATTTTCTTCTTTTTTTTTTAACCTCAGAAACTGGATGAATTAGAGGCTGAAGAAGAGCTTCGGGAAAAGGCCGGCTTCTATGACATGCCTGAAAGCGACGAAGATGAAGAAATGAAGGAAATCAGGAGCTTGGCGAGACAGTAAGTGTGGGGCACCAACTTTAAATTCTTTGCTTGTTCCTAATTAAAAGGAAAAGCTGTTGAAATTTTAAGTTTGCATCCTTTGATACTGAGTGATGCACTTGACTATTTAATGGGGCATTCTACCAGTTCTTTTAGTGTGCTGTTTAAGGTAGTGTGAGCACAGTTATTTTTGGGAATATTTGCCACGAGGTTTTTGATTTTGTCCCTTTTCTTAAAGAGGCAGTGCAACGATATTCAGTTGGAATGTTTTTCACTTTACATGAGCTTACTGGCACTGGCAGGCCCGAAGCATGTTCGAACGCAACCCCACTGACCAAGAAACCTTTTTGTTGCGGTGCATTTTGAAGAATAAGAGCGAGCATTTTCTTTCAACCTCTTTTTCGTGAAACTTGATGACCTAGCACGGTGGTTGTAGTTTTGCCATAGTCCCCCGAGTGACGGTATTTGAATGCGGCTCATAAATTGGACCTGAGCACTGTGTGAGCGCTCGATTTGGACTTGTGATAATCAATATAACTTGACAAGCAATCAGGTAGCGGCTCATGCCCAATCGCTGCAATGACGACAGTAGCGGAACCATGACAATGTCTGGACTCGGTGCATGTCCTGTGCTTTGCCAGCCCCATTCTGTTGGTACAGCCAACATGGGCGGCATATAATTGCCTCCAGATCGCGTGGCCGCTTGTTCTGACTGCGAGTTGAGAGGGTGAACACTGCTTGTTTTTAATAAATTTTTTTTCTGCAATTTCCTTTGCGAAGGGTGAAAAACTAACGCATGTTTCATAGGTCATAAACGTCAAGGATTCTTTCTCAGAGGTATTTGTGCAAGGTACAAGAATCGTAGCACTGCCTATTTAAAAATAAACTAATCGGCTGTCTTTTTTCTTTTTCATATATATATGAGGGGTAAAGCTGAATTGTATTTATGAAAAGGTCTGAAAGAAAAAGCGCTTTCATAGCAGGGTGCACCCATGTCATTGAAAAAAGAGTAACACATCCAGTAGCCTTTAAAGATTTTCTAGAAGTAGGGTCTAGTGTCCCAACGGTAGGTAGCATAGCCGCATTCCCAGCAATGCAAAAAGACAGAGCTATTGGCCCAGACTACTAGTGGAATAGCATCACCCACAAGTGACACTTGCATTCATGTGTAGAATTTCATCCTAAATCTTACAATTTTCCGAGAGCTCAAATCTAGTGCCATGAGGCAGCTAACACATTTTTTGTGATGAAGGAAGTATTAAATACCCTCACAATATTAGTATCTTGATGTTGAACTTTTGGGGGTTGTCTAGTCCAGAGGTGCACAAACGTTTCAGGCCTGCGACCCCTAAAATACTTAAATGCCCGCTGGTGATTCCCCCTCCCTCCCTCTCCCTCTGAATGTATTTCACAGTAACTCTTTCTTTCCGAGTCCCCCACGAACTCCAGACGTCATCTCGCGTCACCCCAGCTGCACTCATGCGAGAGCGAGCAGAGGAACCTTCACTTCTCATTCCTTTCATTATATTGTATAAACTGGAATATAGGTCGACCCCCAATTTACAAGTTGAAAAGCGAAAAAAAGTTTTTATGGCCAGAAAATGCCACCTTACCTTGGTAACGAAATTGGCCGAGTATACGGAAGGACAAGAAAACACGGCACATTTATTGGATTGCTTCGCACGCAATAAAACAGGAAGTGCAGGAGCGTTATTACTTAGATTCCTTAGAACCTTCATCCGACGACGAGTTCACTAACGCAATTCAAAGAGACGATGCCGTCCCTTTGAATTGCTCCCTTGAGAGCCCGGAGACACAAGCGACATCGACGGCTTTTGTTCGGATGCACTTCAACATCACAGGTTGCGATCTGGCACGCAGATCCCGAATAAAATTTGCCACCTTTGTTTCCAATTCAGCGTACACCGCAGTCCTTCCACGAAATGAAGTTTTCTTCGCCCTGCTGCACGCCACCAGTTTTTGTCTCTGCCCTCGCCAGTAGCGTCTGCTCTTCTCCAATTCTCCAATACTGCAAGATTCCCGTGGATCTCTGCAGAGGCAGTTGCCTTCTTCTTGAAGGCTACCGTGAACTGTCTTCTACTTCCGCTCATTATCACTCCAGGAGCGGCAACGGTAGATGTAACAAACCAAGGAGCACAAGTGAAAGTGAATCGTGACCATTGTGACAAGTGGACGAGTGCTAGGCGATTGCAAAGAAAATCAAGATGGCGGTTTCAGCCACGCAGTGTTGCGAGATTATTTTTGTTTTTCCGCTGATGACAGTTATATAAGACGAGGGTCAACTTTTTCTGGTCCTTTTTCAAAAATAAATTTGATCTATATTCCAGTTTATACGGTAGGTAATCTGTTCCCCCAGAGGGTTGTGACCTTTATGCTGTGCGTTTCTGGTCTAGTTGACACAAGTTAGGATTAACTTTCCTGAATAAAGATGTTGTGTCATTTAAAATTAAAAGAAAATAATGCAGCTTGAATCTATTACATCGGGCTATCAAGCTGAAGTGTTTATTTTGAACAACGCATTCATTTTATGAATGATCTGATTGCCAACCCCCGGGTTCTGCAATCACCAAACAAGGCAACTGTGTTTAAATAAAAAAAAAATCGGCGGCATTATCAGCCTGTGTCCCTCGGTCTCCCAAAGCTTGGTGTGTTTATAGTAAGTAACTGATGAAGATTTCATATTAGGTGTTATGTCTTGACTGTTTTAATTTGGGTGAAGAGTGTTTTTGTCATAGGTATCAATGTGTTCATGAAACAATTTCTTAATTAATTTTGCTTATTTTTGGCATTAGGATTCGTACAAAGAAAGCCATTCTGGCCATCAACTCAAAGATCGACAACACCACCAAGCCCAAGGTGTCCAGGCCAAAGATGAAAAAGGTATGGGCTGATTTCTCTTGTCTTCCTTTATGCACTAAATTTCAAGCTTTGCTTTTATGGTACCATTTGGGTTAGTTTTAAGTTTTCGCACACTTTTATTTGCATGTGATTATGTTAGAACAGTGGTTCTCAAATGGGGTCCCCGAACGCCTTCCCAGGGTCCCTGAAGCCCTCAACCGACCAAGAAATATTTTTTTAGATTAACGCTGACCATCTTACATGTGCACCGAGTGAGCAGGGTTGATTAGTCAATATTTCAGAGCTTCAAAGATGACTTGCATGCATTTAGTTTTCTTTATTTACTCTTTGTCATCGTAATCGTCTATCATGCCCCCTCCTCCCCGGTGGGTGGGGTCTCCCATCACTTCCGCTGATTTAGAAGGGGTTCCTGAAATATCAGTGGTTGAGAACCACTGTGTTAAAACATGGACATCTGACAAAACAGAGGAAACTTTAGTGTAACATTCCAAGCATGCCAATTTTCACCGTGTACTAGCATCACATGTATGTCTAGCATCACATGTATGTCTTTTAGATGCCACGAGACTCCAGTCATTGTGAAATATGGGAAGTACCATGTTCTACATTTAGCTTTACTATATTTAATGTTGACTTAAACCCTCTGAAAGTCCCTACCTGACTTTCGATGCTTGTGTACACTGTGTTTTCACTTAGCGTTTACCCTGGTACCCTTCTGTCATCAGACATGGAACCATTTTTACCTTCTGTGTGCTTGGTCTGACTCTTTTTCGCAATCCAGAGGGAGCGAAGTGTGAGCAGACTCCGTTCCGAGATGTCCGAGCTTGGCGTGGAACTTCCAGGAGGAAGGGTATGTCCGTTTTCTACGTTGGCGTTCTCTGTCTTCAACCACTACATTATCGTATTTTGCAAGTGCTGTATTTTTTATCTGTAAGCCACACCGTCGTATAAGTCACACCTTCCTATAAACGGCAGTTTTCACGAAAACGTTGGTATATAAGTCACACTCTTTTGTACGGTTGGTACGGCGAAACTGCATCGATAAGCCTGCATATGTGTACTGTGATCGTGTTATTGGAGGGGGAGTCAGTTTCAATATTTTTGCCAACTAACCGAACGGAAATAAGACCCCCATTGAAAATTCGCTTTGATGCCCCAACAGAAATCCACCATATTGCCGAGCTCAGCATATGAGTTGAAGTCGATATGCGGTACCCGTAGGTTATGTCTGATGGATCTAGACTCTTCTTCAGTCTGCCAGAAGAGCAGGCCATTGGCAGGCACTCTGTTGTATGTCCTTTGTTGTAAACATTGATACGGACTGGCAATGCACCAACGAAAATTTGGAGAATAAAAATGCAACTCGTACATTGAAAAATATGGTATATAATCTTCTCCTAACATTCTACATTGCTACTTTGAGTTGATATTTGATGTTGCAACGAGTTGTGTGAGCTCTCTGGGAAACCCTTGGGTGAATGGGCTCCTCAATGAGCTGGGACTTGGCTGGGAAGGTGTGTCAGCGGTGCCCTTGAACATTGTGTCGACGTTGTCCTTTTCCCACCAGAGCCACTTCAAGAGGGCGGCCTCAGAGGTGAGGACCCCTCGCCCCCTCAAGAGGAAGAGGGAAGACAGCGAAGGACGGGTGCGCAGCAGCTCCAAGACGCCCCGGGACCAGTCTGGTGTCCGAGATGCCAAGGCAAGTGCCCGTTCCTAGGATCTTCTAAAGTTGTTGCCGTTTTGCCTACCTGCTGCACATAGCCAAACCTTTTGAGTGCTGAGTGCAAATTTTGCTCTCAGTAACTCTGTAGCAGGCTCAGTTAGGAATATTTATTTGTAAACGACACTATTTTATGGGCAAAAAGTTATTTGATGTCTGCATGAATCCAGCCTATGACATATTTCTCGAATGTACTTTTTGAGACAGGGTGCTATGCAGTGGCACCTCGACCTGACACCCCGAGGTCACTCTTTTGAACGACCTTGCTCGGCCTTTGTTTATTTGGGACTATGTCTTTCCTGTTTTCACAGTCGTTGAATCCCGTGTTTAGTAGTAATGTCTACTTCAGTGTTTGCCATGAAGCATGAGGCTGAGCGACGTAGGCCTGCCATTCTATAACAACGAAGCAGCATACTGAAACAGAAGTCGCCTAAATGATATAAATTGCTTACCATCAAAGAGCAACACCACAGCATAAAACATTGTTTTCTTTGCTTGCTTATACATGCCGCTACAAGTAAACAAGAAAGGATAGCCGAGTTGGGAGGGGCATGGAGCAAGCCGAAGCTGAAACCAGATGGAAATGGGCTCGAGTATACTTGCGCGTGGCACTCAAAGGGTCAGTGAGGTAAACCTTGGAGGTCAGAAAAGTCGGGAAGACGCTGACCTTGCAAGCTATGATCAGTTTGTCGACAGAAGTTTCAGTTGTTTCATACTGAGTTAACCCTGAAGATGGTAAGATTCCAGCTAAAATATAATTTGGTAACTAATTCTCCTGTGGAAATATCTGGCATTTAATGTTACTCTCTCGGGATGCTATTGAAATTCTTCAGATCACTCGGTGCTCTGTAGTTGTATCATAGTACTAAACCCACAATTAATCGTTCAAAAACATTTTTAAACAGGTATTTCATTGAAATTTGACCGCCTAAGTCACCTGCTGGCTGTTTATACCTGGCTTTTTAGATCAAACTGTTTTTAGAGCACTGCTCTTAGGCGCCTGCTTCTGGCTTGAGTGGTGTCGGCATCGTCGTTGGCGTCGCCGTAACACGTCAGCGTCGGCGTAACTGTGCTGTGCCTTATGGGAAACGTCCCATAATGCACTGCGGTGACGTGCGCATTGCATTATGGAACTTACTCATAATGCACCACACGGGAAGAAGGAGGAGGAGGAGGCAAGGAGCATGGGAGGAGTAGATGAGGAGGGAGGAGGAGAGGGTACGGATGAGGAGGAGGGGTTTACCCTCCCCTCCTTCTCCTCGAGAGCTGCGCTCTAATTCGGCATTATAGGGAGTTATAAACATGTCTTTTTTTTTTTTTTCTGTTTTTTTCTTCCAATAATTGTTCAGTTTAGTCAGCACTCGTCCTGTGTACTTCTTTAATCAGTCCGCGCTTCTTGTTAGCGCTTCTTTATATTTTTTACACTCAGGAACCAACTTGTCTGCATCACCATTTCAGTACTGCAGCTTTGTACTGTCTGTTTGCCGAGGGAATAGAATTACAAAAAGTGGTTACGGAGGCTTGATGGCTTGAGATTGCGGCTCTTGGTCTCGCGGCGGATCGAGGTTGATAAAGCCATCATGTGTGTGTGTGTGTGTGTGTGTGCAGATGAGGAAGAAGGTGAGGACCATTGGCAAGAAGGCCCAGAAGGGCATGAACCGCATGGCCAGGAAGGGAGAGGCAGACCGCAAGATCCCCAGCCTCAGGCCCAAGCACTTGCTGGCTGGACGCCGGGGAGTGGGCAAGGCCGACCGCAGGTGAATGCGGCAGCATTTAGAACCCTCGGTGGAACGCGCAATAAAACGCAGCTTCCAAACCCCCTCCCTGTCGTTGTGCTTTGAGACTGGTCTCCGCATGGATGTAGCTCTTCAAGGAAGGTGCCTGGAGGCTGGATTGCTTGCGGCCTGTGCGGAAGGACATTTTATTACAGCGATAGCCCTTAGTGGGACACTTCGCGGGTTTCGCGCCATCGACTGTGCTCCATATCAGCGCGGGCCATTTTCGGCATTCTGCTAAAAGATTCCATATTGACGTCACACTGTCCATCACATCACCTGCTACCTGGCACCAGCTGACACCATGACATGACATTATCATTTCAAGTCACATTGCACAGTGATGCAATGTGACTTAATGACGTAGGGTGACGTCATGAGTTATGCGATGTCGGGACATCACGTGACACTTTGTCGCCATGTGACTTTCAGTCGTCACGTGACACCATGAGGACAAGTAGAAACATAAACATGAGACTGCTGATAATGGAAACAATAAGAACAAAGCATTTTTGCTAATTATGCCAGAAAGGTTTTTGGGCGATTAAACCAATAAAGCTAGGTGGGTGTTAAAGGTCAACTCCGCTCAGTTCCGAAGATTTCAGGATAATGAGTGATTTCACATAAAAAAGCCCTAGTAAAAGACACTACATTATTTTCTTTGCAGAAAATGGGATATATATTTTTAAATTAATTTTAAGCACGAGCAGAAATCTAAACGAAAACTACGGCTCCGTCCAGCACCATTGGCCTCAGGCTGCCAAGAACATGACTATCACGTGGTACGAGTTGTCACGTGATCCTCTATGCAACGACGGGGGAAATTGGGGCGGAAATGTGCCAAGCGCAGGTGTCGTCTGCACCGCAATCTTTACCACGTTTTGGTGTCTACGACATTCGACGACGTCTGCAAAATTATGGCATAAGTCTGTATGGTGTGTGGACGAAACTCTGAGAGACCATAATCATGAACGGTAAGAAGACGACGGCGGTTGTGTTGTGACACAGGACACGGCGGTAACAGCAGGACCACGGCGGGGCGGCTGGATAGCTCCCAAGAAATGCACTGCACAGGTGCGTTACGCCAATCGCTTGGACACCTCTGCGCGCTGAGAGGAAACGTTGCTGATGTCACCCGTCATGCTTGCCCGGAGAAGTAAAAACAAGCAAAAGGGGGCAATGGTGATGACGTTTAGCTCAATGTTGGCTACTTTCACGCCATAGCCTTGACTGCGCTGTTGGTTGCTCCTCAATTCGCCCGCTTGAGACTGCCGATTTCGGCAACTTGGCAAGGTGCAAAGTTTGCCAGACCGTTTAAAGGGCAACTCCGGCCAAAACTCAAAACGAAATAAATTACTGGTATCGCTGTAGTGACAAAATATGACCCCAGCCAAAATATTACGTCCGTGGGACGCTGCATTCTCAACTAACACCGATAATAAAAATGCGACCCGCCCCAAGCCGCTGCTCTTTAGCGGGCAGCCAGCGGGTTGCCGATCGCTAAAGCAACGTTGGGCCGTGACGTCAGTATAGACCTTTTCCGTTTACTCTCGCCCCCGACCGCCAAGTAGGCATATCCGGTATGGGCGGCGAAAAAATATCAAAACGTTTCAACCTGCAAATGGTAAAAAAATAGAGGGGAGGCAAAACGAGAATGTGTGACTGTTATGTTTATGTCGTAAATGCCTTCTATTGGCGTGGCGACGGCAAAACAATGTTTTCGCCCATACTGGAAGTGAAGACAATTCAAGATGGTGGTGCCCTTGCTCTTTTTTTTCCTCCGGTCCGGGCATTGCACGGAGTGCGCTTCTTTGAGCCGCTACCGCTACTCCGGCTTGTGATTGGCATGTTTAGCTGTTGCTTTTATCTGTAGCCCGTGTAGCTTCGGTATAGCTTTTTGTTTATTTGCTTGTGAGGACTCCAAGACTCGAGTACGGCACCGTACGAGTTCACGGGTTTTCCAGTCGCTAGCTTTTGGGTATACGCACTAAATCTTGCTACATATGCTGGATAACTACCACGTATACAAAATTAAAACAAAATCAGCTTGCCTCCTATATCTTTAAACGGCTAGTACAACAGAGGTAGGTGCCGTTCGGCCTGTGTACTCGTTGAACGAGAACGATCCTGACGTCACGTTCACATAGCGGCTGATTTCCAGTGTTGCCGGGGCCTCGAGCGGCTAGTTTGGTTTTTTTGGCCGCGCCTCAAACAAAACTTTGACGCGTCGATATCTTTAAAACTACGCACAATAACGAGAAAAAAATTACACCTTACAATTCAGGCACGCTGACTGCACTAAAAACAGTCATTATCCCAAAATCGAAAGTATGGACCGGAGTTGCCCTTTAATTAAAAAACGTTCAGACAGAACTGCGTCATAACCGTGCGGATCTAACTCAAGCCCCGACCAGGGCGCCCCTAGCGGCAAACGGGTCCGTTGCATCGGGCAGCTGTCAGTCGCTGCGTTGGTTGTGCGTTGTAGTGGGTCAGCGCTGTAATTTCTGAGATGGCTATTCCGCACCAAGAAAGCCGCAACAATTGCTGCGTGGTCGGCAAGATCGCGCACGGCACGAAGTACTACATCGTCCCTTCGAAGCTGTACGAGGCGAAGTACTGCGCGACCTGGGTACGACTTGTGTGTCCATACAGGTTAGTGGTGTTTCTTACCTTCCAGTTCGCGCTTTGTTTAAGCTGCTGACGAATAATACAATTAACTTTCTTTCTCTTCTAGCGACGATGGAACAGCATCGACACCGACGGAAAACTCTAAAGTATGCAGCAAATACTTCACCGGAATCGAGAAGCGGAATGCGGTCGCCCTCCTAAGCCTACCGTTGGATGTTTCCATCAGCCTACAGGAAGCACAGGAAGATATTAAAAAGAATTGCAAAACGCCGCAAAAAAAAAAAAAAAAAAAAAAAAAAAAAAAAAAAAAAATCGCCCAGTTATTGTCAAGCTGATTCAGAAATAAACGTACATAACTACCGCAGTCCACTCAACGCCAACAAAAAATTTTTGCGGGCGCGCTTAATTTTGTTTGCAGAGTACGGCGCTCCGTGACATCCACTTGTCCGTCGAAACGGACCTCCTTCCCGTCGCACACGCGGCCAGATTCATGAAACAGTTTTCTCTTCGTCATATTGGCACCACGAAAGAAGCTTTCTGGATTCGTAACCGCCTTAAACCCCGTCGTAATCACCCCGGGAACACTCTGCTGTGCTGCTAATCGCCACTGCTCCCCCCGATGATTCTGCACCGGCTACCGAAGAAGCTTTCCGGATTCTTAGTCGCCCACTGTCCTCTGTGCTGTTCGTTGCTATTACTTCGCGATGATTCTGAGCCGGCGGCACCGGCTTCCGAAGGAACTTTCCAAACTCGTAGCTGCCTTAAATTCGGTCGTAATCACGACGGGGACACTGTCCGCCGTGCTGTCCGGTGTTCCTGCGGCGGCTACCGCCAGGTCGCGGCGAACAATAGGCGACCGCCGCGACACGGCCGGCTTGCTCGCTTCCTATATGAGCTCCCCCGGCCGAACGCCGACCGGATCGGCGAAAATCCCGCACGCGGCGCGTCGAGCGTTGCCGCGTTTTGGGAACCGGGCTATTGGAACCAAACCATTTCGTTATCAAAGGGGTGGACGCAGGACGCATAGCTTTTATCGGGATTCCAGCCTTTCAAAGTGAGAATAAAAAAAAAAAAAAAAAAAAAAAAAAAAACGGTTAGAAGTGTCGTTTTCGGGTGTTGGCCCAAACTGTTCGGAGATTATGTTATAACTGCTGATAAACTGGAGCTTGCTTTAGGCGTGGATAAAGCAGCAGTATTCGATCGATGCTTACAAATGTAAAAACCCTATGTTTGATATGATATGAGGCATGACAACAATGATCCCTCGGCAAGCGAGAAGTGGCCGAACAGGAAGCCATAGAGTTATTATAATGTACGCTAGAGGTTCAACTGGCGCTAGTGTCTATGCGACTTCCGTGACGCAAATTGAAGCAGACAGCAACCAGTCTTCTTTTGCGGTGCTCCTGTGCATTCCTATGGGAAAACGCGCGTGCATTTTGTCTCTTCGCCGGATAATAACACGGAACACTTTGGTTATTTGGGTCGTACCGAATAGCATGTACCTTGATTAACACTGTAAAAGTATAATTTCTTTAGTTTGCGCATTTTTCTTCATCAGTGAACGATATTTAACTTCGCTACATTTCAGTTCCAAACGTGTGTTCCGCAGCAGGTGTGTAAGAACAAGCTGCGATTCAAATCAAAATTACAATCGAAACGAATATAGAATGTGTTCAAGACTCGCCAGCATTCCGGTGACGCTTGTTTATTGATAATATGCCAGTCCTGTCACTGTATGAAAATGATCCCGTCGTGCATGAGCGGATAAAAAAACTTTAAAACGTAGTGAATAAATTCCGTGGGCTATGAAAGGTGTCTCTTCGTGTCGTTCTCTCTACCGGGCAGCTTTTATTGCGCACTTCTTCTCAATGATATCAAGGGCGCGGGTGATATTTTGAACGTAGAACAAGCAGCTTCGCTCAGGGCAGAAAAAATAAAGCGGTATTTACTTATTTAAAATCGGAATAGATTGCGTCGTCTTCAATTTATTTTGATCGTACATGCACTGCGAGTTACTGATCCAGTGTTATAGTTCTTGCCGCCGCTCTTGATTTTCCAGATGTCCTTCGTTTGTTTGGCATGTATATCCCCCATGCTGGAAATCGCTGACGCCGCGTTCGCGCTAACAGTGTCCGACGGTGCACATAAATACACGTACGAAGCCGTTTTAGCACCGTTTTTAAGGCGACGAATTCGAAATAAAAACGCCGTAACTGACCAATTATTTTGTCGGCCTGACTGAGAAATGTTCCAAGCTACCTAGTACGTACGAATTATTTGGGATATTGGCTCTTATAATCGAGCGCAGGGAGAAAATGCACTCACTTTTTCCCATAGAAATGCATTACCGGAAGTCAATTTTCGACTGGTTGCTGTCTGCTTCAATTTGCGTCAGCACACTAGCGCCACTTGAACCT